TCAACTCCCAGAATTCCCTAGCCAGCCATGCTGGCTGGGGAATTCTGGGAGTTGAAGTCCACACACCTTAGAGTTGCTAAGGTTGAGAAACACTGATCTAGCCTTCACGCTTTCCCTGAATATAGTAGGATATTGCATTATATTCCAACCCTTGCACACAAATTTTTGTGCCCCGGTTTTATCAAAATATTTAATAAACACAGTCTTCTTATTTCCAATTTTCCAGTAGCTTTTGTTTTTCAGAAGGAAAAAGTAAGATCTGTAATATTCTTTCTAAGGGGCTGTTATTCTAGGTGCTCTATACTTCATGATTTCCCTGCTCTGTTGCATCTGAAATCATGAAGGGTGATTTTTCACTACTGTTTTTGCTACAGAGAACTTGCACAAAATCCTGCCCTTTTCCATCACTTGGAAAGGCACAAAGAAGCCCTGGTCTTACAATGGAGGATAAGTATTGGTCTAGGAAGCATTCTGAGTATGGATAGAATTGCCATATACACAGCTTTCCATTCAACTAATTTCACAATTATGAAGTTGGACCTAAATTAGCCTTTAAATACATTGTAAATAAATAGGTCTGTTTCAATTTTGTAGTGGATTTGTTTCAGGGCAAATGATTGTTTCCAGCTAGGTACATGGAATATTGAAATGTTCTGTGATGTGCTGTGCTTATGATGTTGTAGCTACACAGTTGGGAAAATTATATGCTAGTGGTATTGGGACATGGCATGTCCATGCCAGTTCCAAAGCCACAGTCTACTTTGCCTGGAAAAGTAAACACGTAACATGTCCCCCCATTAAATATCAGGCTAAACATATGTATGCAAGTATACAGCTTCTAAAATATGAGAAAAACCCCATGTACATTTTAAAGTTTGGATCTGAAGTAGTTTTTTTTCAATATGGGATTGAATTAAGGCAAGCGTTATCAACATTGCAGTACTATGACCACTTAAAATTCTAAGAGTTTGTGTGACTCCCCTCCCCCAAATAAAACTAATGAATTCCTGTGTGCTAGGGTTGGGCAAGAAACAAATATGCCACTTTTAATAATTTAATCATGGGCTTCTTAAACATTGAATTACCACAACTGACCTCTGAGTGTTTGCACAGACAACATGAGGAGCAAAGTCTAGAGTGAGTTTTGACAGTGTTTCTGCTATGTCTGCAAGCACCAAGACTTTTTTTTTTTTGGAAAAAAAATCCACCCACCTCTAAAGTTGCTCTTAACCTCCCAGGGGCTCCTAACCCACAATTTGAAAAGCCCGGAATTACAGTAAGGCAAAGATCTTTTAAAATAGCCCAACTTCTGAATACTGGGTGGGCATGTCTAGATAGTTTCCTTGGCAATAATACAGAAAAAGGGTTGCCGTTGTGTTCTGGTGGTTGTGGGGTTGTGGGAGGAGGATGCTATAGCCTATTTCTCTCAATTTTCCTAGTGGCCTCCCCATTCAAATACAATCACATCCCACCATGTTTACTTTTTTGATATTAGCCACAGCTTGGTATTGTCACCTGCTTAGGACAATATGGACTGAATATGATTTAAAGCTCTTAAAATATAGTGGTTGACATTTTCAGATGGCTGAGGTATAAGGAAGCCACATTTAAAGAGAAGCTAATTTATGTCATCCGTTAACTGTCAGGAAAAGGTTTCGGTAGCCTCCAGTTGTCCCTTCAGAGTCAAACACACTACATTTATGTCAAAGCACAAACTTGGATGAGATCTTTCAAGTAGTCAAGATTATGCAGTCCATGGAAAAATACAAGTATATATTTACTGTGCATCTTGTTTTGACACTAGGAACTTTTCCCCACTAGTGATTTGCAGCAGCATTTACATCATCTAGACGTTGTGCTATTAAAATAGCGATGATATAAGCTTTAAATTGCTACAACCATGAGTGGGGGATGCTAGAAAACACTAGAAGTGGTTTTAGACTCATTGCAAATCAAATAAAGTAGGAGATAAATAAATGCCATCCATACGATTCAGTTTTTAAGTTTTGAAATACACTTATGTGTGTATATAAAAATCCTGTCATCTGAAAAGAAATTTCAGATGAAATTTGAAAAGAAGGAAACCATTGGGTTCAACCCAGTAATGTTTTAATTTATTGTTCATACATGATTTTCAGGTTCTTAAGAAATCAAGCTTTTAAAAAAATTATTTTCAAGCTAGATCTGTTGTTTTTTTAAATCTAAACTTGGCAGTTATGAGAAAGTTACAATTGGAAGATACTGTTTAAAATTTTTAGTTACCTGGCCTTTGAAACAGTCAGACTGTTTCACACCCTCATTTTTGCATGCTGAGGATGTAGATAAAGCATATTAGCAGAGTGTGCAGTACGATGGCAAAACTGGTTTGATGTGAGTGTTGAGCATATGCTGAATGGTAACATGAGGTCTTCAACAAGCACTCAGCTCTAGAAAATTCTCAGTACACCATTT